GCGATTGGCAGGCGGGCACAGCGCCACCCCCGTCCTGCACGCGCTCGGCGAGCTGGGCAGAGGGTCTGCCAGCGCCCGGCCGGGAGAGCGCACGGGGGACCCCGAGGAGGACGTGCGAGCCGTGGGGGAAGGGGAGAAACCGGTTGGGCAGGCGGCTGGTGGCCCTGACTAAGCTAATGAATTTCAAAAGAAAACGTAATAAGAAGCAGACAAATATTGTTCATAGAAGAAAGCATTGTTGACTTGGATGGAAACAACAGAAGCCAGCAGCACTTTGTAGGCTGGGTGGCACTTGACTAAGCCAAGGCCCGAGGAACCGTCAAACAATGCTCCAGGGCGGCCCTGTCTTCAGGGGCCTTCCCAGACTCCTGCAGCAGCGAACAACCCAGTTGTCTCTGTGTGTGTGTGTAGGCCTGACCACTTCCTTGAAGGGAGAAAAGCCCTTTTTCTGGACACCACCTACTCCTCCATTTACAGGGGATGACGCGATTACAACTCCTGTATCCACAGGAGTAAGAATAGAGTTCACACCCCAAATTACCACCTCCTAAGAGGCAGTTTGAACATAGTGATTTAGGCGACATTGTTTACCACAGGCTGGAACTTAGCTAGGGAAGCATATACAGTGGTTTTGGGTCTTAAGTAAGATTTGTTACATAAGTGAGGCTTAATTTTGTGAAGCCTCACGTTTAATTCAGTTTGCTAATTGCCGTGGTACTTCTCAAAGTCAGGTACACCTCTCCTTTGTGAGTGCTTTGATAAAAACAGTAAGTTCTAAACAACACCAGAGGGTTGTTCTAAACAACATTCAGAGGGTGATGGTATACCCTAATGTTATTCGTAACCAGCAGAGCTTCTTCCAATAGAAGTTTGCAAAATAAAACCAAAAAAGAGGGTGGAGGAGTTTGTCCGTAGTTAAGCCCTTTAGATTCTTTTGCATAGTAAATCTGAATAGATTGAATCACAACAAACTAAAAACATTCATCTTGTTGTTTCCTTTATTTTAAAAAATTGCATTTTTATTTAGTTGGATATTAGTTCACAAGGCGTCTTGAACTAAAAAAAGATATTGAATGTAATGATGTCAAGAAAAATTGCTGAGTAAGTCATTTATCTGAGCTTGTCGTGACTAAAATTGTGCATTTATGTATTTAAATGGGGGAACTCAGCCTTCTCTCGGTTGACACCTGGTGGATAATCTGGTAAAGTACCCGACCGTTGGGTTAATCGGTGGAAACAACTTCTACTGGTGTTTTTCTCCCCCTAGTGGTCACAGCTGGAATGTCAAGTTTGCTCTGGATAGGTGGATAATATGCGTTAGACCTTCAAATAGGATAGAGCAAGGATTGGAGTTAAAAGTGGGCACAGCGAGTACATAAATAATTTTTAAAGATTTTATTTATTTATAGGTACGTATGTTTATCTTTGTGAGAGTGTGCAGTGTATGTGAGGGTACCTGTGGAAGCCGGAAGATGGGGTAGCCGGGGATTTCTTTAATGATAGTTTTTAGTCCGGCAGTGTGGATGCTGCGAATCCAGCTCAGGTTGTCTGGAAAAGCACAGTCCCAACTGTTGAGTCAGTTCCCCAGCCCTCACTACCTCAATCCCTTAACGAACTGAAGGCTAGGGGGTGACTGAGCTTTTGGTAAAATCTCTCCAGTTTGAATATAACACATTGCTGAAAAATTAAGAATCAGTGTTTAAGTATACGAGAACTGCATCTAGTGGAAAAGACCTTGGTATTATTTGTAGCTGTAAACGTTCTGATCGTAGAGTTTATTATTTTATTTGATGCTCTTTTGCTGCACTATATTTATTTTGCTATTTTCTCTAACTTAGTTTCTCAAACACTTTAGTAACCGACAAAGTGCTAAAAACTTCCTCACCATCGTTTTTACCTGCGTTCCATTTTTTGGGTTTTTTTTTTTTTTTGGATTTTTGAGACAGGGTTTCTCTGTAGTTTTCGGTGCCTGTCCTGGAACTAGCTCTTGTAGACCAGGCTGGCCTTGAACTCACAGAGACCTGCCTGCCTCTGCCTCCCGAGTGCTGGGATTAAAGGCATGCGCCACCACCACCCAGCCTGCGTTCCATTCTTTTAGCCTTGTTTCACCTTTACAGTTTAGGTTTTGGCACATAGTATTCCTCAAGTGTATAAACAAATATATTTGATTCATTTTGTTTCCCCCTTCTATTTATTCAAAACACAAAAACATGGGAAACAAAAAAGATTCTGGTATCTTTAAATACTTGTTTATATTTTCATTTCTAAATGAACTATTATGCTGAGACCAAATTGTGTATGTTATTTCTCCTGGTTTTAATAACTTTGCATTTACAGACTCAAAATGTCTTCCGTCATAGATTGTGGCATGTCATCATGGGCCTCTCTGCTCTTCACCTTCACACCACTGCAAGACTGCACCCAGCCCGCAGCTCGTATGCTGTCTCCTCCTACTCATCTGCTAATTCTCGAGTCCTGTCAAGCGAATCTCCTCCCACTTTGTTGGCTTGGCTTGTTGTGACCAATGTGTCCTTTTATCTGGATCTTGCACCACCATGGCTCTCCTGCACCATCTCTTTGCCCCCCTGAAGTCCTTCCAGTTGATTCAGTTGGGAGAGTTGCAGAAATGCACCAGACCGAACCTGTCCCGGTCACACTGGCATCGCTTCTTCAGCATGTAAGCAACTATCTCTTTTTGTTATAGTTATTCCACAGATTTATGAGTTAAAATTCTACCTTGGTGTATAAAATTTTGAATTCAAATCTAAAGAACTGTCTACGAGACTGGAGAGATGGCTCGGTGGTTAAGAGCATTGCCTGCTCTTCTAAAGGTCCTGAGTTCAATTCCCAGCAACCACATGGTGGCTCACAAACATCTGAAATGAGATCTGATGCCCTCTTCTGGCCTGCAGACATACACACAGACAGAATATTGTATACATAATAAATAAATAAATAATTTTTTTAAAAAAAAAGAACTGTCCACGACTGAATATGACAGAAGCTATGCTGTGTCTGAAGATGTTAGATTTTATATCGACATGTTCACGTAC